TTGGTCATGTTGAATCGGACAATCATATGGTTTACTATGTCGGGAATGACAAATTGAAGAGGAATGACATTGCATTCATCATCAGAAACATTTCAAGATTTATCTTGAAGTACAGTGCTGTCTGTGATCGGATAATATCCATATACCTACCAGGAAGACGAGTTAATACCACTATTATTCAAATTTATTCACCAACCACTAAAGTCTAATGAAATTGAAGAATTCTAGCAACTTCTTCAGTCTGAAACTGATCAAATATGCAATCAAGATGCACTGATAATTACTGGTGATTGGAATGTGAGGGTTAGAAGTAAAGAGGAAGGATCAGTAGTTGGAAAATATGGCTTTTAGAAACAATGCTAAAGATCACATGATAAAGATTTTCAAGACCAATGACATGCATTGCAAATACCTTTATCAAACAATATAAAAATGCTGACTACACACATACATCTCACCGAATGGGATACACGGGAATAAAATTGACTTTATCTGTGAGGAGAGACAGTGGAGAAACTTAATATCATCAACCAAAAGAAGGTCAAGTCTGTGGAACAGACCATTAATTGTTAATATACAAGTTCAGACAGAAGCTGAAGAAAATCAAAACAAGTCCATGAGAGCCAAAATGCAACCTTAAGTATGTCCCCCTGAATTTAGAGACTATCTCAAGAACAGATTTGATGCATTAGACACTAATGACTGAAGACCAGAGAGTTGTGGGATAACCTCAAGAATATTATTCATGAAGAAAGTAAAAAGTCATTAAAAAGATAGGAAAGAAAGAAAATATCAAAGTGGATGTCTCTGAAATTTGCTCTGGAGTGTAGAGAATCTAAAGCAATCAGAAGAAATGAAGTAAAAGAATGGAATAGAAAAGTTCAAAGGGTAGTTTGATAAGTCAAAGTAATATAATGAAATGTACAAAGACCTGACGTTAAAAAAACAAAGGGTAGAAAATGCTTAGCATTTCTCAAACTGAAAGAACTGAAGAAGAATTTCAACCCTCAACTTAAAATATTGAAGGATTCTATGGGGAGGGGGAGCGATTGGAAATGGACTCCCAGTGTGGCACTGTAGGATAAGCACTGGACTGAGAAACATACGGTTGGCAGTTCAAACCCACCATTTGCTCCTCAGAAACACTATACTGGGTAATTATGAGTTGGAACCAACTTGATGACACTTAACAACAACAACATGGGCAAAATACTGAATAATGCAAAAAGCATCAAAAGAAGATGGAAGGTATACACAGAGTCACTGTATCAAAAAGAATAGATTAGTGTTCAACCATGCAAAGAGGTAGCATATGATCAAGAACCCATGGTACTGAAGAAAGTAGTTCAAGCTGCTGCTCTGAAGGCCTTGGTGAAAAACTAGGCTCCAGGAATTCACTGAATACAAATTGAAATTCTTCAACAAACTGATGCAGCGCTAGAGGCACCTTCTTATATATACCAAGATATTTGGAAGGCAGCTATCTAGCCAACTGATTGAAAAAGATCCATATTTGTGCCCATTTCAAAGAATGGTGACCCAATGGAATGTAGAAACCATGGAATATTAATATCATATGTAAATAGAATTTTGCTGAAGATAATTTTAAAATGGTTGTAGCAGTATATAACAGGGAACTGCCAGAAATTCAAGCCGGATTCAGAAGAGGATGTGGAACGAGGGATGTCATTGCTGATGTCAGACGGATCTTGGCTGAAAGCAGAAAATACCAGAAAGATGCTTGTTGTTGTTGTTAAGTGCCATTGAGTCAGTTCCCACTCATAGTGACCCTGTATAGGGTTT